CTAAAACTTCCATGGCATTGTATCTTTCTATAGGTGCTTTAATAGGAGTTTTAGCTCCATTGTGGCTCATATCACTAAATGTTTGAAAAATGAAGCTTTTGAATGGACCAAAGAAGCCTTACACAGCTTTGAGCTCATTAAGAAAAGGATCATCGAAGCTTCTATCCTATCATTGCTAGATTTTGATCAAGTGTTTGGGAATAGATGCCCTTTTAAGCCAATGAGGAAAACCTATTGCATTTTTCAATGAAAAGTTCAATGAAGCCGAGAGAAAGTATTTAACTTATGATATAGAGTTCTACACCATATATAGAGTTTTATTCCATTTGAGTCAATATCTCTTTGCTAAGTCATTTGTCCTATATTCAGACTATGAGGCCCTGAAGTTCATCAATAGCCAAAATAAGCTCAATTGAAGGCATGCAACTTGGGTGGAGTTCTTTCAAGCCTACAACTTCACTATCAAGTACAAGTTAGGAACTTAAAATTTAGTGACAGATGCTTTAAGTCGAAAGCACTCCTTATTGGAGACTATGGTTATTGAAGTGATTGGATTTGAGGTAATAAAAAATCTCTATGAAGTAGACCCTTACTTTGGCAAAATTTAAGAAAAGTGCAAGTAAAGACCATACAACTAGCTTTTGTTGCATACAAGATATCTCTTTAAAGCTAATAGCCTTTACATTTCTTCATGTTCTTTAAGGTAGGGTTTAATCTCTGTGGCTCATGATGATGCACTAGATGGACATTTTAGAAGGGTCAAGATGCCTTCTATTTTACAAGATCAATTTTATTGGTAAAAAATGGAAAGGGATGTGGTGAAACACTTTGAATGTATAGAGTGTGCCATATTGCCAAGAGTCATGGTCAAAACATTAGATTGTATACCTCATTGCCCATGCCTAATGATCTTTAGGAGGATGTTAGTTTGGACTTTATAGTAGGACTATCGAAAACTCAAAGGAACAAGCACTTTTTCATGGTGGTTATGGATCCGTTTTTAAATATAGCACATTTCATTCCTTGCAAAAAACTATAAATGCTCTTCATGCTTCTTAGTTTTATTTTAGTGGAAATTTTAAAGCTAGATGGAGTTTCTTGGTCCATGGTGTCTAATCAGGATTCTAAATTTTTGAGTCACTTTTGGCATATCTTGTGCAAAAAACTTGGCAACAATCTTAAGTATAGTTTATCCCATCATCTTCAAATAGATTGTCAAATAGAAGTGGCCAACCATAACTTAGGTAACCTTTTAAAAAGTTATATGGTGAAGAACATCAAGTAATGGGCTCTTGTTTTGCCCCAAGTAAACTTTACTTACAATCGTTCACTAAGAAAAATCATTGGTTGTAGTCTTTTTAAGATGGTGTACAGTAAGAATCTAATCAGTTTTTTGGATTTGGTTTCTTTCCCTACTAATCAACAATTTAGTAGAGATGCAGAGAAAAGAGCTAAGGGTATCAAGCAGTTGTATTAGCAAGTGAGAGCTAGAATCTTGTAACAAAATGAAAAGTACAAAAAAACAACCAACAAGCACCAATAGTATATGGAGTTTAAGGAAATTGACCTAGTATGGATTCACTTGTGAAAGGATAGATTCCACAATGGAAATTTGGCAAGCTTTAACCCAAGAAAGATGGGCCATTTAAGGTACTACAGCACAGTGGAGAAAATGCCTATAAGATAGAGCTGTTTGAGACATATGGAGTATCTTTCACCTTTAATTTTGTTGATTTGTCACCCTACCAATGAGAAAAGATTGATATTAGAGTGTCTTCACATTTCACAATCCAAAGCTAAAAAATGGCCTATCATTGGTCTTAATCCATTAAATAAATAAAGAGATCATATGGTTTAGATTAGGAGGTTGTCTTTACACTAGCTAGAAATGAAAAGCATGAAGATGGTTAGGAATATGGCTAGATTCATGGACTAACCTAGACACCAGATAATAAGCACATTTTCAATATGAAAAGGTTGTATTTGCATGAGAAAATGGGTGGCTAACTGTGTTCATACTGTAACTTATAATGTTCACATACAAATCCCATAATTTTAAGTACCATTTCAACAAGACAAGATTGAAAGCAATCCCATCAATAATCTAACGAAAATTTCTTAATTTTAAGATCCCAATTTCGACATTTAAGTCGCTTGATGTTGATTACTTAATTCTAGACACAATCTCAACATTCAAGGGGTGTGATCAAAGTCCTTAAAATCAAACATTTGCATTAATAATGCGTTTCCTATACTTGGAGGGTTATTCCAAGCTTTTCTGTTTATTTTCAATTTTTAGTTAGAATATAGCAGATTAAAGTTTTGTTTATCTTCAAACAATCTTTTAGATTGTTCTAAAGTTTTATATCTCTTAGGTGAATTTTTTAGAGTGGTGAATTTCTTTAGCTTTGTATCCAAGCATAGTATCCCAAGGGTGGTGACTTTTGTATCCCTAAAGATTGTTCTTGATGGTGAACTTTGTTCATTTGCAATTTAATAAAAAAAACCCCTATTTTATAGCCCATTTCCATTAGTTATCATTCTTTGTGTTTTATTAGTTTACCCATTTTCGTGAGATCCTTTTAGAGTGTTTTTATAGTTTTCTGTTATCAAATAGCTATAAACACCTTCACCATCTATTGCCAATGTCAATAAAGTATTTTTAAACTTAGCAAAATATATCTTTTTTCCAAACCAATCCAATTGTAGGCTTTGACACTAACATTTTCCATTAGAAAAAAAAATGAACTTCCTTGCATAGTACAAGAGAAACCTTTAACTGACAATATATAGTAAAAGCAGCACTCTATACAAAAATGTTTGAACAAACTCAATAGCTGACATGCCCAAGCTATGAAGCCAAACCAAATAAATCAAAGACAAAACCATCAATTAATTATGCTAAAAAGCACTATTATTGAATGTAATCCCCAAAACTACTTCTATTAATGGATATAAAACAAAGACAAACAAGGCTAATTGAAATTGCTTCCTCAAACCTTGCCTAATAATTCAATAAATGAATATACTTATATCTATATTCATTTAAACCTTGCCTAAACCTTCTTTAAACAAAGCAAATTTTTATTAAAGGATAAAGAGTTTTTGGGTTTTGCCTAATATATCTCTTTTTTTTTAGCTCAGTTCAAACATATTTATTATATAAGTTCTAGCGAATTTAAAAAAATTTATCTTCTTGTAGCTTACAAGTAGATTCAAACTTAGATAACAAAGAGATAAATATACTTTCTTTGCTACTTGAATCAATCATTTGTTGGTAAAGTAAATTATATATTTTTTAAAAATTAATATGATAAGTGGATATGTTTATAGATTGGGTTAAATATAAAAAAGTCCTCTATACTATACACTTTTTATCAGTTTGGTACATAAAGAAATAAAATTGTCAATTTGGTACTTCAACTTTCATTCCATCATCCACATTGGTACATGAGACTAACACGTCAATTAATTTGTTGATGTGTTATGAACATCCAATAAGACAATGACTTGTGTAAAAAAATCTAGGTATCACCACGTAATCAATTATCATGTCAGCATTAAAAAAATTCTAAAAAATTGTAAAATTTCAACAAAAATATCTAAAAAGTTTTAAAAATTATAAAAAAGAAACTAAAATATTTTAAAAATTTTAAAAAGTTATGAAATTTTAAAAAATTCAAAAAAATCTTAAGATTTTAATAAAAACAAAAAATCTAAAAATTACAAAAAATAAAAATTTTAATAAAAATAAATTTTCTTAAAATTAAATGAAAAAGATTCAGAAAACTTAAAAATTTCTAAATAAAAAAATGTAAATTTAGAAAAATCTAAAAATTTTAAAAATTTTGCAAAAAATTTAAAAATTTAATTTCTTTTAATCTTACAATTTTAATTTTTTATATATTTTTTGAATTTTTCAAAAAAATATTTGAATTCTTCTGGATTTTTTTTTATTAAATTTTAAGTTTTTTTATTTTATTTTTCATTTTTTTTTTGAATTTTTTGTAAATTTTAGAATGTTTTAGAATCTTGAAAATTTTTTCATAAATTTAAAGAAATTTTCAGAATTTTTTAAAATTTTTCAAAAAGTGTTAGAATTTTTTTAATTTTGAAAATTTTTTAAAAAAATTTTAGATTTTAGATTTTTTGGTTTTGTTAAGTTTTGTAAAATTTTTTGAATTTTAAGAAAATTTATTTTTATTAAAATTTTCATTTTTCAAATTTTTTCAAAGTTGTTTTAAATCTCTTTAGATTTTTATTGAAATTTTGAATTTTTTTATTTTTTAAAATTTTCAAAATTTTTAAAAAATTTTTAAAATTTTTAAAATATTTCATATTTTTTATTTTTTAAAAAATGTTTTAGATTTTTCTTTAAATTTTAAATATTTTTTAGAAAATTTTTTTAATGCTAATGTTACAATTAACAAAATGATGTTAATTGGACTTTTTAACATGTATCAACATTTTATTGCATGTTCATGCCATATTAGTAAGTTGATTAATAGTATTAATCTAAGATATTAAAATGGATGACGGAATGAAAATTGAAATAGCAAATTGATAATTTATTTTTTAAGTATAAACTAATAAAAAATAAAAAATATATATGGTATTTTTATATTTAACCGTTATAAATTTTAGATATTTGTAATAATTCAATAAACGAATGTAAACAGGTTAATGAAATTTTGTTGACTAAGTTCATGACAAAATGTGAATATATATTGCAGCATCCTATTCCTAGCATCATCGTCACTAATTTTGCTTTTAACTTACCGCACATAGTATTTGCAAACACAGTAATCTTGGTTTCCAAGCGCCTGATGACTTGAGTCAACCTAATCAATTTCAATAACAAGAGACAGATGCTAATATGCAGTCTTCTGTCAACTAATTGAGTTTGTTTTGTCTTCTTTGCATTTTCCTGTCTACTTCCTTCTTTATATTAAGAAGCATCATCAAATTACACCATTGATTTCAGAGATAATATAAGAGAATATATACTCTATTTCTCTGGTGTTTTGAGCGGTTCCTAGACAGAAAATTGATTAAAATTTAAGCAGGTTTCTTTCTTTTCTTTGAAGAAGATCGAGAAGATGGTTCCTATAGGCTTCAGATTCAGTCCCACCGATGAGGAGCTTATCGAAATCCTGAACCAGAAAGTATCCGGGAATACTACCATGGCGCCTTTGGATTTCATTGTTGAAACAAATATTTATGAATTCGAGCCGCAAGATCTTCCATGTCTGACAGTTTTCCTTCTTCTTCCTCTTCTTGATCTTCTTTTTCGTAGATTAATTTCTGGTCTATATATGTTTCCTTAGTTTGCATGTCTTAGATCACATTTTGGCATATGAAAGTGTAATATTAATACGTAAAGATATAAATTTAGGTGTCTTTAGCCTCCCAGGATCATGTCTGAGAGTGCAAGCCAACAGAAGCCCGTATTTCATGGAACTCCTAGGATCATGTGCAAGGGAACAGAAGCCCGTGTTTGATGGAACATGCTTCAATGAGATCAGATCAACAATCATGTAGTTCCCATCCCATCTTTCACCCATTATCCTAATCCCTACTTACTGACGTTCTGACTCCCTTGCAATGGCTCTCAAAATCCAACAATTCAACTTTCATTTCTAAGTTGCTTTTCTACCAATTAGTACTATAAGAAAACTGATCACAAGATGAAAATTTTTCTGATGATTAACAGCACATTTGAGAGTCGATTAGAGTGCTGCTTCCACCGCGCACAAGAAGTGGCTTTTATGACTAAGCCCTAGATGGAACCCAAATTGATCTCACATTCAAGCATATATTTAGCTAAGCATATTCGAATCTCTCTTTCTCTAAATTATACAAAAAAAAAAAAGGAAAATTATATCTCAGTTCTTAAACTCATATATAACGAAATTTATATAGTATATGCTTTGTGCAGGGATTCAAAGTGTGGCCTTTAACAAGAACGAAAAGTATTACTATTGTAAGAGGGAAAGCGATTCAAGAGAAGTGAGGAGTCGAGGATGGTGGAAGGCAACAAGCCATGTGAAGACAATTTCTGATAATGGACGAGTGGTGGGTTACAAAAGACCCCTAACATTTCACAAGTTTAGGGATGACCAAACAAAACGCAAAGATGCGATCAAGACTGAGTGGATTATGCATGAATATGTGCTTCAATCCATTCCAACGGTTTGTGTCCTGTATTTCATCTCTGCCTTGCTTTAGCTATTAATTCTTTCCTTTTTCTTCGCAACATTTTACACAAAACGCATATTTTCATTAGGATACCTTTGCCTGGTTCATGATATTGTGCTGAATTTAACATTGAGAGCTGTTAGTTCACAATACTAGAGACAGCATTTTTATTAAGGATCTTGAGTTCGAACTCTAATTGTAACCAAAAAACAAAATAAAAAAGAAATTATGCTGAATTTGCAAGCTATAAATTTCTTGAGATATTATCTCTTCTTCTTTTTTTCTGGCGCCACCGTACATTTATTTACACAATGATATATATATATATATGTATATATAAAATCTCTCTCACATAAATTACTACATTTAGTCTTTCATCCCCTGTAAAATACTTTATCACATCTATATTTTTTTACAAAAGAGGCTATAGTTTGATGACTGGTGAAGAGATTATAGATATTGAATTTGAATTTCAAATCTGTGAATGTCATTTATTAAATATGTATTAATTACATAATTTAATTGAGTTTAATTTTGGATTCTATCACATTTATGTTAATTACTCTGAGCTCTTGTACTCGTAAATAGGTTAATTTCTATCAAACCATTTAAAAATCCTGTCAGATTTTTCAAAATATAAGATGATATTCTGCCTTGCTTTATGATTTTATTTTTTGAGAAAATATGTCAATAAAAAACTAATTTTTACTTACAAAATTACTGTCGAATATTTGATTGTTAGATTGATGTCGTTCCTTTAACAAAATTTCAGATCATTTATTAGAATTTTAGAATTATAGTATCACTATCTTAATTTTATTTGTGAAGTTAAAAATTTTTCTGTCAGTTTATTTGATAATTTATATATATAAATATATATATCTTGATTTTGTTTTTGTTTTTGTTTTGTTTTGTTTTGTTTTTTTTTTTTTTTTTGAGACTTTGTTATTGAAGATGAATCTTATACTTTCTATTTTGTTCTTGTTTATATAGGAGTGGAGACTCTGTAAGATTATGTACAAAGGAAAAGAAAGGCTTGAAGAAGACAAGGAAAACGTCAGAAATGACAATCCAATGAGTTCAAAAGCTGGAGTTAGCAGTAGTTCCATAAATCCAATGCAGTTGGATTACTTTGCTTTTGAGGAGCAGCAGCCATTGCTGCCGCCATTAGCTGTAAACAATGATTATGAAAATTATTTTTGGTCATTCTCTTCATTTGATGATCAGCTGCAGCTGCAGGAATTGGCGCAGCCATCCTCTTCATTTGACCCAAGTTCTTCGATGCCAATACTCACACCAAGCTATTATGATCACTTTGCCCAGGATGACAACCAGCAACCATTTCCAGACTTGTGGTCCTAGGAGAACTGGCATTTTGACTCCTGTGCTCCACCAAGCATGCTGTTTAACCACAAATAAAATGGTTGAATGTTTCCTTCCCCTCAGGTATTGTAGTAAGGCTCCATTTGCGAGCCCGATTAACACGGCAGGACCGTCATATATGGTTGCGGGGACCTAGGCCTCCAAAATATTTTAAAATCCTTTAGTATGTGTATGCATTTATGTTAAACAAATTTAAATGGTCCATCAAACTAATACTATTAATATTAATTTTACTATAGTTAATAATTTAATTTTATGCTTTGCATTTTAAGAGAGTTTAGACTACATTACTATTTGTCTTTTTATTGTACCTATTAATCACTATTTAAAAATTTTCAAAATTAAAAGTTTTATTATAAATTTTAAATCACAATCATGTGATTTTAATTTTTTAATTTTCTCAATAATAGAAAGTCCAACCAAATATAAATGTGTTTTTTTTGTACCTATAAAAATATTGATTTGTGTATTTTTTTAATTTTAGATATAAAATATCAAAAAATCAAGGAAAGATTTTATATTTATTAAAAGATTGTGTAATTAGTAATTTTATCATTAAATTAAAAATTATTTTATTCTTAAACGTTTGGTATAATAATAATTTTCTTTTATAATTTATAAACTCAATTTTTTATTAATATATTATATATATTATTTATATTAGTAAATATAACAAAAAATATCTTAAAAAATATATTAAAATATAATATTAATTGACCATCTCATATTCAAATGTTAAGATCCATTTTATTAATGCATTGGAAAGTGCATTTTATGATTGTACAAAAAAAATCCATTTAACTCTCAAATGGAACCAAAACTAATATAATTTAAAGAGTCTAATATGGTGCATTTAACTAATTTGGCATCCCATACAATGCATGGTTACAATTATTTGTTTTTCTCATTCTCTAATTGCATGCATATAACTATCCTACAAATATTTGTAATAACACAAACAGAAAAAAGCTATTAAAATGCAAATTAAAAACATTACATGTAATTTTTAAACAGATTATTGCATTGCAATAGTTATAATTTTAGCAATTAACATATTGTGTACAAATTTTTGAAAGATATTTCCCATTGGAATTCAAACCCTTTTTTTTTAAATAGTTGAATTCTGACTTAAAAAAAAAATTAAGGCATAATATGTGATCAAGGGGTAGTTCTTGGCCATGTTTGTCACCACAAGAAATTTCATTTTAAGCAATAAAATTTTTTAAAGTAATTTGTATAAATGTTGCAAAAAGTATATAGATTTTTTGCAACATAAATAGTATTATGTTGCAGTAGACAGGAACAAGTTACTTTTTTCAGCAAAAAAAATACAAAATCAATGTTGTTTTTAATAACGTTACTATTTGCAGCACCTTGAAATAATTTGCACATGTTTTTCGCAACATAAGAGTCCTATGCTAGTGTTGTAAATTATTTTCTGCAATAAAAGTGTGCAAAAAATCATTGAAAATACTTTTTAATATAATTATTAATTATTAATTACATCATAGCATAAATTTTTTTTTCCTAAATATCACATTTCTTGTAGTTTGACCTAATTAAGTACATTGTATATTCATCTTTGGATTGTTGTTCTACTACATATAAACAATGCCTAGATTCCGTAATACTTAAGCATATCACGTGTTAGTAATTTGACTACTTGGATTCTAACTGAAAACAAGTATTGTACTCAATCTGAATGGTTATGAGTCTTAAGTGGGCGTGATATTCTTGGTGATTTTCTATTAATATGATTTTAGACTTTTAGACGTCTATGATATTTTGGGAGATGTAATCTCTAGAGAAAAATGTGATTCCGGTTAAAAAGCGTGTGGAATCTAGCCCCACACTATTATTATATTACTGTCCCTACAGGCCCACAAGCGTGTGGAATCCTTTCATGGAGAAATAAAGCTCTGTTTTATATATCAAGGTGCAAGAAAGCTGTCAAGTGGGTAAGAAGTCAAATAAAGGCATATTTGGAATTTGATTGAGTTAAAATTTTGTCAATATATTTAATATTCATTGTTTTGCATTTTTAACTTAGAGATTGGGTTTGGTGGTTTTTAGAAATAGATTTAAAGTGTATTTATTGAGATTTATTTTGTGAGATTTATTTTATTTTTTAATTATTATTTAACTCTAATTTTAGTTAGAGAAGAGTTTTATATATTTATAAGTTGATACTAGATTTATTTTAGTGGTCTGTGATTTTTTAAAAAAGAAAATTTTTTTCACATAAATCTTGATGTATTTTAGTTTTCTTACTATTATTATTGGCTTGTGAGTTTGTTGTTTGATTATTGTGATTTATTGTGATATATTATTTTTATATTATTGTGTGTTTGTCGTTGGGCCCTTCCAACTGAAAGCTACGATTATTTTTGAGATGTTGAAAATGTAGCAACTCAAGATAGTGTTATGATTGCACTAAAATTTTAGCATTCTATTACACTTGTTTAGTGAAATTTTTCTTGAATATTTTCTCATTTCTTGAAAAAATTGGCAAAAATACTCCTAAAGCATAAATATTCAATGTCTAGGTGAAAATATGAAAAATGAGGAAATTGAAAGCTTTAAGACTCATTTTGAAGAAATTTTGGTGTAAAAAGTTATGAAAGGCCAAAACTAGCATGCTTGTGCTATAATGCCACTTATGATAATTTTTTTGTTATCCTTTCCTTCTATAATTTCCTTAACTTACTTGAGCTTAATTGAACTTTATTTTAAGCTTTAATTCTCATATTTTTCATTTCAAAATGTCCTTTTTAGTTCATAATGCTTTGTCACTTTTGTAGGTTTTTTACATGTGTTAGATAGGTGATATGGGCATTAGTGTTGTTTGAAGCTATCTTTGGAATTGATAATTTTCTAGATTTTTTCATAATTTTTCATGCATAAATTGACAACTAAATGATTTGTATTTGGTTGAAATTTGAAGAAGAAATTGGTTACAAGTTCATGCATAAAATGGAAGCAGGATTTAATTTAAGTCGTGTGATGCATTTAGTATGATGATCAAAGCTTGTGAAGCCATTTTGAGAATTCAAAGAGGGATCAAATGCAGCTGCTTGATTGAAAATTTGAAAGCTACTCATTGGACATAATTTTGATTTTTTGAAGCTCACAAGATCAAAGGAAGAAAGCTTAAGGTAAAGTGTAGAGAAGCATACAAAAAAACTAAGGAAGCAAGTTAGATGAGTTTGAAGGATCTAGAAGATGTGGCAGCTAAGCTGGCATTTTCTTGCATTTAGTTGCCCATTGAGAGAATTTTTAGACTTTTAGAATTTTTCTAGAATTTTCTTTTCTTGCATTTACTTTCTTTTCTTTCCAAACAATTTTCTCCTTATTTATTTAGAGGACTATTTAGGAGAAAATTGTATTTATTTTCTAGCAAAATTTACTTTTCTTGCCTTTATTTTAGATACACTTTAAGAATCTTCCAATAAAAGTTCAAGATCTTTAAGTTTTCAAGTCTAATTTGTTGCATTTTCACTTGAATTTCAAATATGTTGGTAATTTTTGGTTTTGACCTATGTGTGGTTTTTCCATTGGATCTTGATCAATTCTTATGAGTTTGAATCCAATTTTTTTTCTATGGATTCTTGATTCATTATTCTACAAATTTGGAAAAGATCAACATCAAATTCATTCTACAATTGCTTTAGAAAATTCCTCAAAATTTTACAAAATCAATGTTGTTTTTAATAACGTTACTATTTGCAGCACCTTGAAATAATTTGCACAACATGTTTTTCGCAACATAAGAGTCCTATGCTAGTGTTGTAAATTATTTTCTGCAATAAAAGTGTGCAAAAAATCATGGAAAATATTTTTAATATAATTATTAATTATTAACTACATCATAGGATAAATTTTTTTTTCCTAAATATCACATTTCTTGTAGTTTGACCTAATTAGGTACATTGTATATTCATCTTTGGATTGTTATTCTACTACATATAAACAATACCTAGATTCCGTAATACTCAAGCATATCACGTGTTAGTAATTTGACTACTTGGATTCTAACTGAAAACAAGTATTGTACTCAATCTGAATGGTTATGAATCTTAAGTGGGCGTGATATTCTTGGTGATTTTCTATTAATATGAACACTACGTTTTAGACTTTTAGACGTCTATGATATTTTGGGAGATGTAATCTCTAGAGAAAAATGTGATTCCGGCTAAAAAGCGTGTGGAATGTCCAGCATTATATGTATGATATATTTTCTGCAATGAAGATGTTCTCGGCTAAAAGATATTTCTCACATCCCTATTTGAGGGTTATCATGTGTGGGGTTTAGCTGTTGATAAAGTAGATGACGTGCACAAAGTAGGGTATTATGATTGGACTTTTAATTTAATCATAAAATATAGCTATTATTAGAGTTCCTCTCATCGTACATCTAAATGAAATTTAAGGTTTTATTTGATAAAAAAATAAAAATAAAAATTTTGTTAATTTAATATTTAAGTTACAAAGTAAGAAAATGACTATAAATTTAATCATTAAATTAATAAATTTTCTTACTCACTTTTTAAAATATTTTTTAATCAAGGAAAGCCTAAAAATATGGATAATATTTATAAACTTAAGATTATAATATATCGACTCAACTCGATTTAGTTATGGCATAAGAATATACATGTGTTTTATCATTTCACCACAGTCTTAAGTGTAATTTATTTAAAAAATTAAAACTTATGAGGCAAATATTTTGTTTTTCCACCCTATATCTTTAACCCTCTATGTGGTTAAGTTTAATCATCTGGTCATATCCAAACCTATTCTTTAAGCCCAAATCTTGTGTCCAAACCTTGCAACATTAGGCCAGGTTTGCAAGCCATGGCAATTAAAGTATAATCGGTCTAAGTTACATATTTTATTGCAACTTTGACGATTAAACTATAATCTTTGACCTGTTAATACATAAATAAAACTTTGATAATCCCTAACCCCTAAATTTTAAA